GACTTTCAGGTCATTCTGACTAGTATTTATGGTCATGCAAACAGGCGTTGGAATAAACCTAATCTCCGTTTGAGTGAAAACACGAAAAACGACTCGTTGAAGAGTTGGAAAACATTGAACAAAGATGGGCATGAGTTTGGTAAGTGTTCATCATGTGATAAACCTCATTCACGTAATTCATATGTATTCCGTCATCCTAGGTGTTTTATTCGTGGAAAAATCGGACATTAGTAGTATGAAATATGGCAATTCACTCGGAAAGTTGGAGTCACTAAACCGACGGGCATTTCCATTTCGAGCATTACTGGTCATAAACGTCTTATTATTGGATGCTGTAATCCACTGATCAGGGACGATAAATTTCATTTACAGCTCATGAATCCTTCACCAGCGTTTAGGGATGGTCTACCCTGGATCTAGAACACTTACGAATGCTTCAAAAAATACTTCCCTCACTAATCAATGAATATGATTCTGGTGAAATGCCTGATAACCCATTTACAACAGAATTGAAATGCAAGGATTTGTACATAACTCTAAGACTTTCCTTTTCTGACGCTAACGAAGAAAGTACAAAGGCCTTGGAAACACCAACCAATTTTATTATTACGAAATTCGAAGACTCGGAGTGTAAGATCCGTTTTGAATGTTTGGTATGTGTGAAAATCCCTTCATGTATACACTTGCACTTTGTTCCTATTGATCCCCTTAGTTGTACATCGTTGTCTTTTGATTACATTTGAATTGTTAATACTTGTATTTTTTATTATAGTTTTTGTTTTTCTTACGCATTCACTAAGTTTGTGTTTCTTCCCGAACAGCATCTGTGTTGTTTTACTTGACACTTGTTCTTGGCGGTAGCCATATTGATTTGCTCCTCCTTTAGTGTGTTCTATCCAGTAAGGATAGAATAGCGTTCATTTGTTGTGACTGGTAATTTTCCCTCATCCTTCATCAACTACTTTATTTATTGTAATTTAGATTTGGTTGATTGAACAATTATTGGTTGAATAGCCGAGTGGTAATATTTGTTTAGGTAACGATTTACATTTAAATTTATGATGAATTATAGAATCGCTATTTACCCGATCACTTGTTTTGATTTCGACGGGAAAGGGCGCGTGTCTAACGTACCGGGAGGGCTATTCAGCAGTCCAAACCGTAGTTTGGATCTTACGTCAGGGCCATCTAAAATATATATTTTCTGACTTGATGAATAGAGCGTCTGGAAAAGGATGAAATCCTTCATCAAGGAGGAAAATATTAAGCTGTATTAACATGCTAATCGTTCTTTATCGTGCTCTGATCTTTCTAGGACTACGCTAGACCTGAACTAGCACTTTGGCATCATACAAACGCCCAAACGTTGTTCCTTAAAATTCTGATCTCGAAATTATAAGAACCGATGAATTGAGTTGCCATATATGCTCGAGAGTGTTAAGAAGACGTAATTATATGCAGAATGTCATTGCGTGTGATATGTGTATGATATATGAAAGCACTCTACTACAGGAGTGTAGGTAGTTACACACTTGTGGTGTAACATAAAAATCAAGAAAATTCAAAAGTAGAGTATCCCGTCTCATCTGCTTTTTGTTTATTAGTGCCAAAGAGGAGAATCACTTCATTAATAGTCATCTTTCACTTCGGTGCATTTCGATTACGAAAAAAATAAAATAATCTATGACAGGACATCCATCCAAAGGTGAATCATCAAAGAAATATACATCAACCAATCTAATCCATTCACTGACAACAGTCACAATTATGACCACACAAAAACCCTCAAATAGCATTCCTCAGTCCTCACAAAATCTAAGCCACACTGTGTGCTAATACTTGTTCGAAAATTGAAACTGTACATAAAAAAGCTGCAAACATAATCCCGGGACCTAACGCTCAACTACTTCCTAGTCTCAATTCAGCTACACATCTACAGTCGTTCAGGATTATTTCAAAGGCACCGATAAATCCCTAACGACTATACTTGACAGGTATCTTCCTAAAAATGGTGCTGCAAGCTATAGCCGTTCGGTCACTGAAATACAGAGATCATACAGACTTCTCTGAAAAAACCTGCAAAAGATTCATTGCCCTTAGCCCAAAACATGAATTTGTTCACAGCATTGGTAGACCCTAAGACACACAAAGGATTAGCAATACTTAATTACCCGGGTACGCCGCTAAGTCTGTCCATGACCTTGCCTTCTCACGGCACTGGAAAATGGTTTAGGGTGTACTTTAATAGTTTTAAGCATCAGGAAACTACTATATACTACATGAACGCCTCCTAACTATAGTTTCAGGAGATTCCTCATTTTTAACCCAAAACATACAACGCCTTTGATTGCCCACGCCGAGTATAGGCTGCTCCTTAGCACACAAAATCATTACAATGCTGACCTATCTGGGTACGTGCCTAATGAGGTAAACTATCTAATACAATCTCTGGTTCTCACCACATCGATACAAACACCACCCCATACGTCTTTAGTTTTCTTCCCCTCAACATTCTTTCTTTGTTACCTAAAACTGTTGAGCGTGATTTTCCCACTGTTTTAGGACTATCCTCTATATACTCTGACTAAATACGGAGCGATAAACATCACTTCACCAACAAATTCACCAGTCCTGATAGCTTCTTGTCGGACCATTCTAACGATTTTTCAAATAAATCACTTATCCATACAACCCACTCTACTTCGCCTTTTACCTCTAAAAATGTTTATTCTTTCACCAAACCACCTTCTTACTACTTCCCTTTCACTAGCCCTGTCGATAACAAACCAAACGAACAAGAATATGAAGTATATACTCCTACTTCCTCCCTCTCTCCCTATAACAAAACGGAAATCCTTTTAGATCTACACCCTGCCACTCTACTAAATGAATACTTGTAGGATTACGGATTATTTCGTTAATAGTACTGCTCTAATAATAGACCTAATCCCGAACTTGTAGATTTGTCGTGATGTAACTGCCTAATATATAAGATCTTACGTGGAAGTCACATCATTTTATACACCGACTCATCGTAGCGTAATATTCACCAGTGTATGGTGGAGAACACACTTAGGCTAGAGATAGAACAATATGTTCAATATGAATAAAAGGTATAGGCTACACAAAAATGATCACGTCTTCGAGGCCGAGCCATGCCATTCGATTCATTTAGATTCTTTCAATTTTTCCACTCGCCTTCCTCATCGTTAGTTTTTTATCCGCCTCAAATGTTGAATATCTGTTTTCCCAGTCGCCTCGTGTTCAGCGTTTAGGATTGTATGGTCAGGGCCCTATGCCACTACATTATCGCCGTAAGTGACACTACTATTGACCAATGCTGGCTCTGTACTAAATGACTTAACCCATGTATACACACTGGTACTTCCAAACAACCCTTCACTTGTCATGATGGCGAAAAATTGACTGTCCTCCGATGTCTCGGGTTCATATTTCCTGGTAGACACTTATAAAGACTTCTGTTGTGATCAAGGCTTTGAAAGGTGTTTTATTCTAAAAAAACATCAATATAACGATCGATTGATCCCTGAATTCAGCATTTAACCATAAGAAAAAATCTGCACAAAATAATGAAACATCCTTAAGAATAGGAAACGAACCACCTACCCTGAAGGGTTTGATTCATTCAGTCAATGCGAATATGATCAATCAGGTACACGATCGTTCATTAATATAGCCATCGGAAACCAAATTTCTAATGCATGTAAATGGCTTTGCTAGTCCTTTATCATCATGATCTTTTTATATGCTGATGATACCAAGATATGATAAGTGGTGCGAGGTGAAATGGATGGTTGAGAGCTTTAAAATGAATTATAGAGATGATAGGTTTACAATTCGTTAGTAGCTGATAAATACTTTCATTTGGACTATGATGCATATTGGTCACGGTACATATGCATTTGCGGTGGATATTGTTTGACAGCTATACATTGACCTCCTAGTCATCATTAGTCGTGAAGTGTAAGCATTCACACACTTCTATGCAACAGGTGACCATGGTTTCAAAGCCGTTTGGTCAAAATATAAGGCAATCAAGACTTTGAGACCTTTCCGACTTTGAATATAGTATTCACTCTTCCAAAACATGAGTATTACATATAAACAGCTAGTCGAAAATCCCACAACATGAGAGAAATGAGTAATAGACAATGGGTTAAAACAAAACATGTCGAAATATCATGTCATGAACATTCTACCCCATTTGATGAAACAACATATGACCTCCATGGAAGCCAGCTCTCGATTGTCTCATCAGAGTGAGATATAGGGCTAGTCATCATAGAGACCTTGGATACCAGCTCAAACTATATTGGGGATCTAAACAAAGTAAGTGTAACTTTTGACTTTTGTGCGAATACAACTGGGCTCAATCACCCTAGGATTGTATATGACACTGTTTAAAAAAATACAGCCTCATCATGTTCCTCAAAGAGACACCTGGAAGATCACACATCAAAGAACAAAACCAGGGTACTCCCACACCTTTTCTCATGAGGAGCTGTTCTACTTATAATGCTTTCTAAGCCAAACTAACCACATCAGTCTCAGTGTACAGCTTCAAGAAGACATTGAATAAGCGGATTAACATCTCTAGCATGGACCAGCTTTATCTAATGAAGTTCTTATAATTTAACTACTGCTATCATCATCACATAACACTCAGTTATTCCTGTCCATTTTATTGTCATCCGCGTTTTCTCTCTTATTCCTACATTTCAGTCTCCTCATACTATCTGCATTAACCTAGTTATTTATTTATCGAAGCAATCGTATCCTCCTAGCATTTAAATTCTCTGTCCATTGTTTCTAAAATGGACGCGAAAGCTGCCGGTATCCAAAAGTTTTGCGTCCCTGAAGCAAACACAAACTGAAAGATATATAAATCCATAAATAACTACCAAGCGAAAATAAATCAACCAGTTAATACAAGCTTGTGAATATTGGACATTAGGATGATGGCATTGAGGTAATTCGGGGGTATTATCAAAAGGTGCGCTACTTTTCTAACGTGGTTTACCAGGTATGTCTGTGGACGTACCATTCTAACTAGGTGGCGACGCTGCACTTAAACCACTAAATCCAAAACGTGTTTGTAAATCTATTGATTTTCGTCTGATATTTTTGTTCTAGCTACAAGCATCTCTTTTCCTAACACGTTTTCAAGGCTACAGGTAACTTTATTGAGGCTTGCAGTGACAGTGAATGCTGCGTTCCTCCTTGTGCTACGTACGTTTAGTAACAACACCTAAACGATTCCTAAAACATAAACGCCCTGGAGATAAGATGATTCCACCACCACACTCCATATCATTAACCGTTGTTGGCAATGGACGTGCTGGTTCCTCGAAATCGATGCTCATTGACACAGGGGTATGTCGTTATTTGGTCAACTGTGGTGAGTCAACGCAAAGAGTCTTGGCAGAATATCGGTAATGATGCTCTTAGTTTACTTAATATTAGAATGAAAACTTCGCGCATACAACATGTCTTTCTTACGCGTATGTCTTGGGATTGCACTTCTGGATTACTAGGTTAGTACAAATGCTAGTTGTACGTATTTTGAGGTGTGGCATTGACTGCAAAGGCCGCAGGAGTTAAGAAGTTAACTATACATGGACCCGCAGAACTAGTGAGTTATCCACCATACAAGATATATTGTATTAGCAAAATATTCACTTTCAATGTTATTACGAAATATCTATCAGGTAGCAGGTATTGAAAATTTAAGTGCGAATAAAAGTAATATTAGGATATCTTTTACAAACAGCGGTCGTTTTCGTCGCTCAGATATCATTCTGTACAGTGTTAAATATTTTAAGCTAATTCTCTTCACTGTTAGTTGATTCATATATGATAATCAGCAAAGCTCTATTTCATAACTAGGGAACATAACTAATTGTTAGTGATGGTAAATGTTCTTGCTCTATTATTTCACGAAGGGGTTAACTGTTTTTGCTACTAACGTTCGACATTGTCTAATATCCATATTCACCGAAGCAGTTACATTCATTTGCAACTATTCCTTATAATGCTTTCTAAAATTTTCCTGTTCTTGTCCTCACCTTAATTTTGTATACAAATGGTGTATCCACTTTAAATTGTGTTTTTGAAGATATCTATTTAGAAACTAATTAGATGTTTTAATTTGGACAATCAACTCTTATTAGAAAAGTCGTTAGGCTAACTAACCTAAATGAATCTTCACTTTGCATAGACGCATAGATATGTCTGCTAAAGAAGCTAATATTAATCCTGCCTGCAAATGGTTCTATCCTATGTCTAAAAGTTGTTTTAGAAGCAAAGCCATTTAATCCTTTTACCGTTATACAGTAGCATGAAAAATAATCGATCACAGAATATGGGGAAACGTTAAAAACTCATTCTTGTTTCTATTAAGTAAAAGGGACTAGATTATTGTAATTGTGTAAAGGAAGATTATTCTCGTCATTATTATTATTCTGGATAAAACGTTTTGCTCAAATCAAAGGCAATCTCAAAAGTATTTTGGAGGTTGTCCTTGTAAACTTGAAGAAGCTATCTGACAGTGTTAATGCAATCCGTCGGTTATAATTACTAGTAAGGTGGTCATATATATGTTATGTTCTATTATATTGCTTCGTTAATATTCCTAGAAGTTCGTATTATGCAATAGAGACTAAGTATTTTAAATATTTTACACTCATCTATCGGACCATTAGTGCAAAGACCAACTCACTTCCGTTTTCAAATGTCTGGGCATTGTCTGAAACAGTTATAACCCAAAGCCTGGCACAGAAGTCTGTTCTTAGTAATTGAAAGGGATTCCTTCTCTCTCATTGTTTCTATCGTGATTCAATACTAAGTTTTCTATTTACTTCGTAAAGAGGGATAGTTTATCTGCTTACTCAAGCCAAACATAACAATCAGCTCTAGACCTTTGTGTTCGATAGATCACCTTCAGTATTATGAATAATAGTTATGCAAACACCTAACATTTGATCCTAGAATCCTAGGTCTTGAAATATATCTAAATTCGTACGTCTGTTATAGTTCTGTGTCAAAAATATATTATTTGTGTTTGATTTCTTGTCTACCAAGTTTTGATCTTTATTGCATATTTAATGATTAGTGATTTCTTTTTATAATGATGCTTAAGCAGTCCTTACAAATTTACAAATCTAAATCGTTATGAGGTCATTTTAGATGATAACTTACAAGTTTCCAGGTCAATTAGGATCCCTTTACTTCATGCACATTATTTGCATTTAAACTTTTTTTATGCCCTTAGGAACATCTGGTGCAATTGACTCGTCCGTTTACTGATTGTAAAACAACCGATATCGGTAAGTTTTTTCATGCTCTTTAATCAAATAGCCCTCTTTTATGATCATAAGCTCACTCTTCCATTAATCATCTAGCTGCATCTTAGCTAGTTCTTTGCTTACTTTTTTAAATCGACTCAATTTGGTGTTTTCTCTTCGTTTCAGTCATGAGTGAGATTCATGAGAAGTATTACACTGATGATGCATTTCGCGTACAGTCTTTCCAAATATTCAAGCCAACAAACGTAAATGAAGAACCAGGCAAGTTTTTACTTATTGAATATTTTCCTAACTTTTAGTTGTTACATTAAAACTTGGTAAACAATATCCCCAACTCAACCTATTGCCTGAAAAATATATTCCTTTAGGTCCTACCATGTCATACAATAACAATGTTTTGGAGGACATTATCGTTTGCAATGACACAGGTGCATTCGTTCTCTTTCTTCCCATGATTTCTGAAATTCTAAGTTTCTCATAACTTTTTCTGTCTTTACTTCACTAATTTAAATTTTCTCGAATCGCATCTCTGATGCCTAATCTTTCCAATTACTACTGATACTGTTATTACCTCTACTATCCATGGATTTGGCCCGACGGGTTGTCTCCAAGGGTTAAAGTTAAAATATTCAAAAACATGATTTGTGATAGAAGACGGTACTTGTGGGATTTTTTATTATGGAGGGGGTTTTCTGTGGTTTGGTTGAATGAAATTTCCACCATTAGAATTGATGAACAGAATGCCAATCGATAGATGAACGTAATGATATGGTGTGACCGAGTGATGGCTTCTCATGACACCGTATAGTTGGCTTAGGCCCTCGAATGGTTAGAACCCAAAGACAAGACCACTAGTCAGACGCATAGTTTTATATAATAAAACAACACATCTACAAAATATGAACACAAAATAAACATGGTAAAGTGCCATAGGCTATTGGAAGAAACTAGCTGGTAGGTCACTCATTCTCTGATAACTTAAAATATAACTACCAAGCCTAATCTTTGGGCATCGTACGTTTCTTAGTATGTTTTCCTTGTTTATCTCAATCATCGTTATTCTTCTTGTCAAAAGCATTTCTGTATCTAAAATCGTAAGACAGATTCGAGTACTATGCTGTTGCGTACATTGTGACTAATGTTTTTGATATTTTATTTTGTAGTCTACAAACGACGAAAAGAAAATCTGGGTAATGTATCAGAATCTAGTGTTTTTATATACTACTTCCAGGTTAGTCAATTTAATAGATAGATATCCACACCTTTGTTTCATCCATGATTTATAGTTCACCATCGTTTTAGTAAAGGTTTTGTTAAAACCCATAAAGATCTAGTGTTTTAATTCGCTCTTGTTACATAAACAGCTTAAAAACGTGCTTGATATTTTGGCTCGGTAAAGTTTACAGCTTTTAAATACTCTGAGATTGGAAAGACATGTTCAGTCTTTTGTTATCCAACTCATTCAGTTACAACGTAAGACTTATGTACCCTTATTGCTTAGTACTCCTCAAATACCACTTCACTCAACTAGTGCCCAAAACATGAAAACGGCTTGGACAGATATGTAATTATATTCCACATAAATCAAGTTGGACGGGAGTCACTGTAAGAAGAACAGTATATCTATAACTATACACGAGGTTCTAGAATCTTCACTTGTCCGCCAGCGCTGATTGGCTAGAAATGGGCCAAATGAAAACTTTTCTCCGTTTAACTTATCAAAGACTGGATGTTGTTGCATGGTAATACAACCGAATATAATACTTTGTCTGCTAAAAATCCTGTAATAATCCAGATGATGAAATATCAAAACTACAGTTAAATCTGTCTATCAAACCTTCTCTGCATTTTTTGACTCACATCTGCAAAATCTTAATTCAAGTATCATTTATAGGCGGAAATTTGGTTGATATCCTTCCGTAGTAAAAAAGAACTACCTTCACATTAATCTAATCTTTGAAAGATCAAATTAAGTGGAATTCTGCTATTATCACTCTCAACTATTTCAACGTCATATTACATAACAAATTCCCACTCATATTCAATTACAGTAATTATATTTTAATTCTTTTTCTGTTTTATCTCTGTTCATTAGCCATTTCGTACACGTCGTAAGTTGATCATGTCAAAGTTCAATGAAGCATGTATACCAGCGTAAGTCAGTAGTAGCCTTTTAAATCTAATTCTACCACGTCTTCCTAATCCCATTTTTTCTATGAGACAGATTTTTCAAATATCGAATGAGTTGGTACAAACTTATTGTTTACTACACATTAATAGTAACCCGTACGTCGGTACCCTAATAGTTTTAGTGCTCTACTCTCAACCATTAAATTGCAGGTTCGAGTTTCGCTCCACCTACTTTTATCTGAACAGGTAGGTAGTATCACTATCCTTCGCGCTTGTGTCCAAACATGAGTACACCAATCTTTAGTAGACAAATGACGTACATCATTATTAGGTCACGCAGTTTGTGATCCCACTCTAACTACTGAGGTTCGAACAGCCGGTTTGCATCACTGGGCTTCACACAAAGTGTGACTTAAAAATAAGCACACTAATTCGTAATTGATATAAAATTTACATTGTTAATCATAAACAACCCTTCAGTTCATACGGTTTGTAAGATGCCAAATTATAATAAATACATTGGGAAATGACTGCCAATCTGAAATTTTAAAATTTACATTTGAAGCTTTTTTAAACCTGTCACCTTAATCTCCGAGTTTGAGATAGTTTATTCTGAGGAGATGGAGATAAATATTTATGCATCTCAAAGTAATTTTACTTTAAATCCTTGTGAAAAATAAGTGTCATGATAAGTGATGACTTTCATCAGTAACCGTCATACTTTTCCCATGGGTTGGTGATAACGTAAAACTTTTTTCTAAAGTTATTTTAAAAGTAAATTTTACTATCTATATAAAATGCGAAGAAATCGCAGCTGTTTTTAAGTTCAAGATATTGCTTCGAAAAGTTGAATTATCTAATTTATGGAACCTGATCTAAAGAGTTGTGATGTCCCAGTAGATACGAACCAAACAAATTTATCCTTTGTTTTGTAGTGCCATCTCAAAAAGCAGATCGTTTTTTTTTACTTAATCCAGGTAGTATCGATCAGTGGTCGCCATTTTTGCGCTAGGATTTCATAAGTAAATCTGTCGAAATCATCATACTTTTCAATAACCTGACATCTTTTTCAGTGAACCGCTTACTTTAGTCTTTTTTATATATCGTGCTGCACAGTAGCATTAAATGAGAATTGGCAAATATAGAAAATAATTCTTGGTGTTTAGGTCAAATTAATTTAATTTCTATGATATTACTTATCACAACTGACATTTTTTCTATCATCCTTACCCACAATAAAATTTCTTAAAATACAATTAGCATTTACAAGCTGGTCACATAATCCTTTTTGTTGTGGTACGAATGTGGTACCGCTTTATTAGTTGATCATTACTTGATAAACGTTATTCATTTTTAAAGTAAACCGAAATCCTAATAATATTAAGGAGAATAGCAGATATTTTGAGTATTTATCTAAATCAAAATTTTTATAAAGTAATCTCTAATACATAAATGACAAGTCATCTAAATTTTATAGTTTGGAAAATAATAGCAACAAAGTAGACATTCGGAACTAACTGATTCATTATCATTATGAAAACCTAAAATTGAACACTGCAAGGATAAGGATCTGTGTTTACCATCAAATTGCTCACTTTTGTTGCTTTATGTGCAATGTTTTATTAGTTTATATTTCTTTGATGTGTACGCGTCTGATTGGCTTACGTATACTTAAGTTTTCTTGCAACTACTTTACCTTTCGCTACTCATTTTTTTGCGAGAGATATTCGGTTTGTTCATATTTTCAATTTTGACTTGTTTCCAACCTTTCATTTTACAGATCTGTTCTAAAATCCGGGGAAATACAAGCTGTTATAAATGGAGAAAATTTAATTTTAAGTGATGGACGTATAGTGAGTAAATTTTTTCAGACTCTTGTGATTTATAATTAAACTTACTCTAAGCATGAATCAGACTCGTAGCTTGTTGGTTTAGCAAATTACCTGACAAGTATTTATCTGTTAACCAGACATATAGATGGTAATAGAGCGGTAGATTAATAGTCATATCACTTCACCAGTAATTCACATAATCGAACACTACTCCATGTACTTTGGTTTTAGTCATTGGTTTGTATTATCACTCCTCATAAATAACGTGGCTCAAAGCCAAATACATAGAACTCTAGTGGGTTCGTTACAAAAATATATAAATCAAAAGTTGCTGTAAAAATCAATGGGTTGCCGACTTCTAATTAAATATCATTTTACACCACTTGTAATATCCAGTAATTAACCCCCCACTTTTTAATCTTTCATTACAGATTTTGTTGAAATACATTACATCCACAAATAGCATTGATATTCTAACAGACTGTAAAGATATCAAGTAACCAAGTATTGATGTGCAGTCATCAGATTTTGTTATCAAATTTAAAGTATTTAGAGCTGTAAATCAACATCAACTGAAGTAGTTGAACTGTTCGATAATTGTTCCCATCATTTATAATATCTAGCGAATTGAGATACATATTGAAAGTATTATTTATCTATTCGTTTAAACACAAAGATCGGTACAAAAAGACACCAAATATATATTCGCCACACTTCGTCATTCAATTTGCATGAGGACGCCCAAACTGAAGCATGTGATTTTCTTAGGGGGACGCTCCCCGATCCTTTAACCTATAGGTCTAACCCACAGGGCGATGCAGTCACATGTTAGCCGGTGACCAACAATTGATCCATACTCCATTTGTTCCCTCAGGATCCTGTAGCCCATGTGACCATTAGTTTGGAATCAAGGCGTCCCTAATCCTTTCCGTGGATCATGAGAACCCACCAACCAAGTTTAAGCGTCGGGCATCCGCTTTTCGTCCTCTCCATTGTGTAAACAAACCTCCTGTCACGGAAAGGCAGTGAGTAGGATTTCCCTAGTAGTGGCTATATACGTGTGTTCATGTGAGAAAATTTCGAGAGGGAAAGCTGACTCTTCCACCCTCGACCGTACCAGGGAATTTGGGGGCAAACCAAGTATTAGTTGTTAAAGTCATATACTAATTATTTCAAATGTCTATGAGTAGTAGTCAGTGCTTGCGATGATAAAAATTGTCTATTCACACAGACATTTGGGTTTTTTCATAGTAGAAATCTTTTATTGTTTTAAGTGACTAAATAAATGGCTATTATAAAAAAGTCAAGATAAATGTATTCATCAATCGAATTCTTACTATTTATTTCTAATACTATACATTTTAGTCTTTCTTATTTCATATCTAGATATCTCCGGATGAAGTAACTGTGCCATCACCACCATCGAAAAATATGCTTTTCGTCGACTGTCCGAATTCTGATTACATTCCTGCGTTTATATCCAATGAACACTTTTTCAATTCTATTCAAGCCGAGGAGCCTAGTGGAAATCTAACCTCTGGTGTATCCTTAGTTGTTCATTTTACACCACCAGGCATGTTCTATTCAAACCAGTATCAGAAATTTGTACAGAAGTAAGTTAAAACTCTCCCTCACTAGTTATGATAACAAATTCTATGAAAATTGTAGTCGCATTGTAAAGTAAACCTTTCATGGGAAACGTAAGTGAAAATTTACACAATTACAATGTAAACCTATAACTTGTAACTCTTAATCACATCTGTTATAACGAATCAAACGTTGTGAACCACAGGCGTTGCGTAACGGTTGGAAATTCCACCAGCTGTTTCAAAATTTAGTTAAATTATTCTGTGCTTAAATAAAAAAATCCTAACTAAATTATCTCTCATAACTAGAAAAAGCAAGCGCAAAATGGTATTTGTTGCAGGCAAAGCTGGAATTCAAACTACCATTTAATAGTTAACAGTGTTTCAGTGGATGTCATTTGCCCAAAGATTGTTGATAACATTTTGTAGTTGTTGTTTTACCACTCACTGTGTGGCTGACTACTTCTCAACTTAGTTAAACGATGTAGGCGATTAATATCATACGTCGATATAATTCTATATGCTTTAAGGACTCCTACTTTTTATCCTGGTTATTACCGTCTACTTTCTCCTTTTCATACGTTAGCTTAAGGCTGTTGCTGATTCTTCTCATCATTACTTAGTTGTCGGGACATGATAATTAGGAGAAAAGGTATGGTGGTTCATAAATCCTGCAAAAGATCTAACCGAAACTTAACTAGCTCTCTTTTACTGTCCATGTGTTACTGCTATGGTATTTAGTTTGGGCGTATATTTATTTAATCTAACTATGAGTAGTGCCTAAACGCTTTTGTTTGTTCCGAAAAAAAGTGGCCATTAATCTAAAGGATTTCCATTCTTTTTAATACATTTAGGTTGGAAGAGTGTGCATTGCAAAAATCTGATAAAAAGGATCCAACTACAACACTGAAACATTTGGTTCTTGATGGCACTGGTTTTGTAACTGATCGTGTTGGTATGTATTCTCAAACATTCATCCTAAATCGGTTTTTCGACTCAAAGGTCTACCCACTGCTTTTCGATATGGCAGATTCTGATACTGTTTCTGTAAGTAAACCATACAATTTATTCGTAAATTTATGTTTCTTATTTCTGTGTATGCAAAACTACATAACTTTGTTCACTTGATCATTCACTTTTCGCTTTACTACATTCGCTTGTGTTCATATATTTACCGGATCAATTTTTCTCCTGACTTAGAGTAACTCAAACCTGATTGTAGGTTACGTGGAGTAACTAAATATATTGTAGTCCATGGACCTTGTATGCCTGAGGATTATGCAAGGTATAGTAATGCAGTCACTAGAAAATCTCGAGACTTCAGGCTTTATTCTGACGATTTTGTGTGTGTCTATCAATCCGAATTTTTTGTAAACACTATTGCTCACTGTACATTCTTTGCTTGACATGGATTCTATTCATGCTAAGAGTTACAAGTGAACTTCTTCAATCATAGATTTTCTTGCCTTTATGATATTCCTATCTTCAGTTGTACTTTAATGGTAAACAATTTCCGACTAAAAAGGACCAGTATTTTGAGCCCCAGTCCACGTTGTATTATTCAGTGTCTTTGGAGCAAGGCGTTTGTATATAGACGATAAGCGTAGGCTGCAAGTATTTGATTACAGATGTCCTCGGAGCATTACTCACGTATGATGGGACAGCCGAGGGATTAATACTGAGATCAGACGTAGAGCTACTAGGTAAGTATGACAAATCGGTTAATAAGGTTGTGAATCTTGATTAATTGAAGCGGCTGTGATACATGTTACATATATCCAACTACGAATTACCTCGATATGGAATGTTGCATTAAGTAAGAGTAGGTTGGAAAACGTGATTTCAATCTATGAAGTCACTGACCGTTGGACTGAATCATGTTTTTGGATCCACTCTATCTGATTAAGATGATTTTCGTGGCCGACGTTAAGTGACATAATTCAATATCAGCCTTAACGGCACAGATATTTCTACTTTTGATTTTTCTCTGAATCTTAAGTTTCAGTATTCTTTATTAGCTTCTCATTGTCATTTTGAATCATATTCTCAATTTTCAGTCTTTGTTTCGATTCCTTTACTATTCATCATGTTAATGTCATCTCGTAGTGCTAATGTGCTATGCACATCTACTCCAAACTCCATATTGATTACAACAGATTAAAAGGAATGCACTCAGCAAAGCGTATATTTATATTACTGTTAACTGTTACAACGTTAAAAATGTTATAACATTTGATTACTTCCAACGTTATTAGGTTATCTTGATTCATTTGTTTATATTTCTTCCCACCACACATTGTAAAATTTCTCTTTATTTTATCGTCCAATCAGAAACGGAACGAAACAATATCAAAGAATATTGATCCTTTCTCTTCCGTTGTAACTGCTGAACCTTATTTGCAGTTTTCCTTGAGACCATGGACAGGGTTTAACAAGTAAGATTTACTGCAGTCTTTCAGGTTTTACGGAATTTTTAATATCGTAACCCGATTCGAATTTTTACTAATAATTACTCAAATATCTCTATTTATACAGATTCTGGTTAAGTGTTGAGTTTTCTGAATAACTTGAGTGAAAGTGCTACGTTTGAAGAGATTACGATATCACCTAAACCGGTGAAAGGAACGAAAGTCAGCAACACAGCAACAGGATAATCTAAGCTATTTTCCTGCTCCCCAGCCCTACTTACTAGAGAGAAAAGACCGGATTCAACCGAGGGATATGTATATTCTACAAGCAGTCGAAAGAACGAACGAACAAGCCCATAACTCATGAGTTTATATATAATACAAAAATGTCCTTGGAAAACGTCACCAAATAGCGTGCTAAAAGAATAAACGAACTAATGACATTTAAGGTTCCTCCTAGTGGGAAATACAAACTGAGTGTAAAAGTGGGTGCTGTTGGCGCGAAAACGAGAGATTCAGATTTCCAAAATAAAATTACTAAATGAGACGTCTACCAAGTGATTTCTGAGGATCTAGCATCCCCAACAGAAAGTTCGAGAAATTTTGGTATAAATTTCTCTTACTATAAGTGCAAAATTTAACTTGAGGACTGCTCTGCAGCAACACCTTGTCTGACTATATGGAATGAATTAGTTGAGCACGCTGATGATTATCATTTTAGAAGTCTCACTCCTACATGGTTAGTCTGTAAAGATATCTTTGCATAGATTTAAAAAAAAGTAAATCCGTGAAACGAGGCCTTTGAATGTAGGAGATAAACGCAAGCTGCAAGTATTTGATTACAGATGTCCTCGGAGCATTACTCACGTATGATGGGACAGCCGAGGGATTAATACTGAGATCAGACGTAGAGCTACTAGGTAAGTATGACAAATCGGTTAATAAGGTTGTGAATCTTGATTAATTGAAGCGGCTGTGATACATGTTACATATATCCAACTACGAATTACCTCGATATGGAATGTTGCATTAAGTAAGAGTAGTTTGGAAAAATACTAGACATGCAGATTGAAATATGACACCAGTCCACGGAATCAGTGACTACTAAACTGAGTCATGCCAATAGATGCAAGGGACACATTATCTGAAGTCACTCCCATAATCGTTTTCAGTGGTTGAAAGAAGACCTTAGGTGACTCCAAAAATACTCCCGATTATCTGGTTATGTCGATAAGTGTTAGTTCTTTTTTGTAATGATAAATACGAGTACAATCTTTGAAACTCGTATTTCTATTGCTATTTTCTTGTTGATTGGCATTACTTTTAGCTTTCAAATTTTTCTGTATCAACGTCATTTCCGGTTACTGTGTGTAGATAGTTGTTCCATTTCGATTGGTCTTCGTCAAATGTCAAGTTTTCTTGTTCCCTGCTGCCTACTTTCTCAGTTCCATCGTTAGGGTTTATCATTAGTGTTGTGTATCATTTACTGTGAAATTAAGCTCACTTTAGATTCTGTTCGTATTAGAAATAATATCGATGATTCGTAATTCGCAATTGCCATGGGTCGAATCAAATCCCCAAAACACAACAATAACTCTACTCAAAATCAATTATAGTGGCACGTATAGATTCACTGTTTATTTCCTTATTGATCATTAGTCTCAATATTTTGTCATACTTTTATCCCGTGAAGTCATTCCTGTTTGTTTTTTTAATTCTCTATGTTTTTTTTCACTATCAACAATAATACTTTAGTTCGGGCTCTATTTATCAATCTCGTTAATTTTTCACTATGCTAATCTGTTGTGGCAATTTGGGTCAATGTTAATTTATTTCATTTGCTACATTGATTATAACTTACTATATTTTAATTGCCTTTATCATTGTACATTTTGTACGATTAAAGCGGTAATTTAGGATTCAATATTTTATTTCCATATGTAACCTGAATAGTATTTTTTTTCCTGATTTCTGTCAAAATTAACATTATACCCTGGCACGAGTTATTTTTTGTTCGGAAAAAAATAATATAGTAGGATTTATATTCAACTTTTGTAAATTTTCATTTTTTTTCATAATTTAGACCTACTTATCCACATTTAAATGGTGATGAATTTGTGTCACAAATTTTTGATCCGGTTTATATGAGTTTACAAGAAGCAGAAGAACAATTTGTTAAAATGAGAGAATCCATTGAATCCAACAAACCACCAGGTGACTTTTCTAATCAGTATAATGTTCTGCAAATGCTTCTTTTTATTGAAACATTTAAAGTTAGACATTAACACCATTGGATGTCGGCTCAGTGGTCTAGTGGTTAAGTGCTCGCGCGCGAAGCCAGCAGGTCCTGGATTCGAGCCCCGCGTGATGCGGGATCGTGGATGCGCACTGCTGAGGAGTCCCATAATAGGACGACACGGCCGTCCAGTGCTTCCAGGTTTTCCATGGTGGTCTAGCTTCAATCGACTCATGATTTCAACCTGTGAAATTTCTAAAACTCTCCACAAAACCCATTCTGACTATAATAAGTTTTGATTATGTATTGTATGTTTAATGAGTGTCGGGTGATTTATGTTCCATCTAATGTTAATTTTACACTGATATCAATTCTAAATCAAGCATTAGAATTGATCGGTTCATGAAGAGAAAAAAACAAGTGTATTAACAAGAGAAGAGAGTATAGTTGACTATAATAAGGTTAAGATGAGTACAAGTTTTAGAGAGTGGTAAAGATTTTAGTCATTTTCTTTTAATTATCTCTGACTAATGAGATCGTAAACAGTTTATTTACCTCAATTTACAATGGTTTAGATGATCCCAAACGATACTGGGTTCGAGTTCTGAAGTGAACATTAACTCTGTGATGAAGGTACATCCAGCTGACCAGTCTCAAATAGAATGAAATGCGCGTCCTGGATTTTACTGCTAGCCACATTCCATTTATTCTGTATCATGTTTATTTAGCTGTTTGTTGCACGAATTCCAGCATGTTGCAGTTGATAGCTGTACAGAAACAAAACCCTGACATTTTAACAATTTCAGATGATCAATTTAGTACCGTTGATAACATTAAATGAAGTGTTTTTTAGTAGGAGAGATTAAATTTGCATATCATTTGGAATAGACAACCTTTGCCTTTCCTTCTAAGTGAATCCGACTTTATTCATAAAGTTTGTACTAGATTAGAAATAAGATTATTTATAAAATTAAATCCGGGTATGCATTACAGAACTATTGGAGCAGAAAAACAATTTTATCATTCAATAAGAAAAGCATTACTTTGAATTTTAATGTTCAAATAGCCAAAAAAACTGTTCTACTTATGTTCTTTGTTACTACCACAGGTGGCTTGTGGAGATTGCTAAATTTCATAGTTTGTATCACATGCTGATATCAGATAGTTATCGAAAACCAGAAAGCATCAGACGGTCGTACGCACTCACGACTCCACCTGAAATCTAGCCGAGTATTGGAAGACGCCCGCTGAATAACACATCGAAATATATTGGATTCGATTCCTGGTATAGTCATGGCTGCATACCACTGTGGAGCCCCATACAGAGGCGAAGCAGATGTCTAGTGCTTCCAACTAAAATCAGTCTGAATATTCCGTGGTTAAATTTCCCTTTTTAAATACTCTTTCTAATATACTCTCATAGGATTCATCCTGTCGTGAATATATCTTTATCAGCCTGTACTTCAGATTTTGGATGACCGAAAGGCACTTGCTTTGATAATGTTTGACAATATTAATTTACACTTTTCACAAGTGTTAATATGGAATTTTTTTACTGCATATTATTTAGCTCATAGATTAGCATCAGAGGCGTATCCTGAAATCACATTTCTTGGCACTGCATCTTCCTCTCCTAACAAATATCGTAATATCAGTTGTATTCTTATGCAATTAGAGTTAGTTTTAACCTCTTTTTTGTGGTTTCACTTATGAATTGACTTTCATTTGTATAATGTAATTGACGTTTTATTAATGTATATTGTAAGATGAACATTTAGCTGGACGAAGTCCTACAAATATATTTCTTGTTCACTTTTAGGAGTTTCAGGCTGCAACTTAATGTTTCACCTATTTATGTCGTTGTATCTATCCCGGTAAATAAGATAGGTGTAAATAGTTCGACATGTTTTTTTGTTTTAAGAGCGTCAAGTATCATTAATAGATTTATAGAATGCAACATCTTGATTTTTGACTACTTAGTTACGTCTGTTACTCTTCATGGAGGAGCATAGCCCGCCCAATAGTTTTCTCCATCGAAATCTGTCCTGGGCAATTCTTTCCAGTTGTTTCCAATTTCTGTTCATTCTTTTGATATTAGCTTCCAATCCTCGACTCGGTGTGTTCGTTCGTCTTCCTCTTTTCCGTTCCCCTTCAAGATTCCAAGTTATTTCTCGCCCCGTGATGCAGTTTGTTGATATCTGTAATGTATGTCCTATACACTTCCATCGTCTTTTCCTGATTCCCTCTTCCGTTGGGAGCTGGTTTGCTTTCTTCTTCAGTAGATTGTCGCTGATGGCATCGGGCCAGTCGACAGTGAGTATCTTTTGTAGACAATTGTTTATAAATACTTGTACTTTTTTGATGATCGTTGTAGTTCTCCACGTTTCATCTCTGTATAGTAGAACTGTCTTGGTGTTTGTATTGAAGATTTTCTTTTCAAGGATTTTTTTCGACTACAGTCAACTAGAAATAACGTAGAATATATCTTCATAGATTTGTAAAATAGTTTTTAATGAATGACTCTATGACTAATTGCTGTGAGCAAAGTTATTCATTGTCCCTGAAAACTGATATCATCATCTCTATAATTACGTTTTAAATCATATTACGCATTATTCGTAAGTGTATTTTTTGTTTTTTACCTGTTGCACTATCAAAAAATTGTCTGCATGCCATTTCAGTCCAGATAACTACATAATGTTGGATTGTGGAGAAGGTTCTTTAAGTCAACTATACGCACTACATGGTGTCGAAAAAGGAAATAATATTTTGCGCAAACTTCGATTAATTCTTGTTACTCATATGCACGCTGATCATCATGGTGTGAGTTTTCACATTTTCAGATGTATAATTCTGTTTTTTTATTCTCTTAAGTTATTATATATATACAGTGTGGTTACACTTGTTTCGTGTTGTAAGTAAAAATCCGTTCATATGATTGTGAAACATGTTTTGCAGTAGATAAGTCCTACCAATTTAGTCAGCCAGTCAGTCATAATCAACGTAGAATGCGACACATATGTGCGTCGGTTTAAGCTGCCTCAACATGAATAGCTCAGAGGAATGATTAAGTCTTACAAGTAGTAAAACTATCATTGGTAGTAGAAGACATTAGAAATATATAGTATAATTCTAGAAAAAGCAATAAATTCGCAGAATTAAAAGTATTAGGTAATTTTAAAACTCAGGACCTAAGAGAAGATACAGATAGGATACTTCTGCATCATCGCAACCAAATTTGAGCCAATTACCAATAAATAATTAACAACTCTAAAACACATTAGTAATTCCTCCACATTATATGTAGTTCATGCAACTTTATAATTAAGTACATGGTTTTACATGATGCTTCAAATATTACTGACGTTATAAAAAAACTAAAGATGTATTGCAAAATCGTTATTCTGTGGTTGGAAGTTCAGCTTTTAAACTATTGAGATGCATTACATCTTTTATTTGCATTAAAAAAAACTATAGTAAGTGCCCAATCTATGTTTTAACTCCTAATCGAATCTTACTTCACTAACTAAATACAACACATAGCCAAGTACACGATTCTGTATTGAATATATGAGTCAGTAAAAAAAAACAAGTAATGGAAACAAGATAGATCTTCCTTAGCTACTACATTATGAATAAAAATATACACTACTACATATTTTTAACCTGTACATCATTCCTATATCGCCCTTACTATATACCGATAATATAGTAAATAATTCCATCTGACTTACGTTAAGTAAATCATTCGAAATACTACTAAATAAACAGGAGCTTCAATGGAAGGGACAGTCATCCGATGTGTAGATCATATTAATTTTGGTGTTAGTTTTCACGTTTGTAGCACTTAATTATAATAATCGTGAGGACCCCAACCAGGTAGTTTAAATTTACCTACATGATTCAGTCCAACAGTCAGTAACTTCATGCACTGGTATAAAGTTTCAGAAACGCTCCATCAATTAGGCTAACTGAAGAACAACTGACCATTAAATATCAATTTAACAGTTAGTAGTAGTAGAAGCTGAATTTCCATGAATAAATTAATAATTCATTCCTGTTTAGTATTCCGAACTAGGTCGAGATATCTATCCCGTTTTTTATTATTTCTTCGAATTATTTCAATACGTTATGAAAGTCGATCTTCATGGTAGCCAGAACCTTCCACCGTAAATGTAAACCACTGAGTACTAACTCTGTAGTCTAATACGTTAGGGGCTAGCCTGGATCTTATAGGTTCCTCTAGCTAGTTGGGCCGTATAAGCTCTCTATTAAGGAGTCCCATACTAAAATGAAATAACTGTCTAGTGCTTCTTGATTTTCAGTCATCTAACTAAGTTCAGATAGTCAAGTAAGTTATGGAAAAGAACCTTATTCTGTTAGCACAGTAAATGTTTCTTCTCTACAAAATTATTTTTGTGCTGTTTTTCAAGGGTGTCTTCACAGTAGCTCTAGTTCGTTCCAGTCTACTTAAATCAGATGGTATTGACCGATCCAATTGTTTATTACCTGTCCTTGCTCCATCAGGATTCTATCATTGGTTAGTTAATTTCAATGAACTTTTCCATAATGACCAAATTGTTGACCCATTCATCATACAAATTCTTTACGATGAACATGATAAGAATTCAAATCCTTCATGCGCATTAAACATGAAACGAAACGAGACGGAAAATTGGTTAAAATTATTAGAGCAGCTTGATATTAATGTAAGTAAATTTTATCCCTTTTTTGTCATTAAGTCCTAATAGTTCCATCTTGGTTTAATTTATGCCTTATTTGCGTTACTGTCTTATGTTAATGGGAGAAAACCAACACTTACCAACTTATTGTTTTGTTACAGGTCTATTTTATGAAACAAATACGTATATTAATTGTGCATTTAATCATACTAAGCATCACTATCGACGATAACTTGTATTTTTAATACTCTGTTTTTGTTTGTATGAAGTATTTCCTTGTGTTTATGCGATGCTAAATGACGAGGATTATACAGTGTAGTTGCTTGGGAAAATATATGTTATACACCTGCTCAGGGAAGTTGTAAGTATTGTGAAAGTATTGTATTAAAGTGCGTATGGTTATTGTGCATTCAAAAGAGAAAATAATTTGATACTGTTGGTCTTTTAGACTTTGGAGAATAACCACATACCTTGATGGACGTCTACAATGCAATCAGTCATACACCCAGTTACAAATTTACTGGATTTTGTAGAATTGCCTTGAATTAAAAATCTATTACTTAATCTGAAGTTGTGTTATATTGTTCTAATCGTCCCTTAAACCCCTTTCGGACAAGAGTATTAGATAGCAAATTGTCCTGGTGTAATGTCTTACTTAAAGTTAGGCTGAAAATGCTTACATTATAACTGATTAAATTCTGTTACACTGCTTTAAAATCAACCCTTTTAGCAATATAGTTTATATGAGCTTTGTAAAATAAGACAAGGTGACTAATAAATGTGGACAGTTGTCATAGCCAGACAACATATATTATGATAATGGAGTGTCACTCATTAAATTAATTTCTACTTGTGAGGAAAATATTATAAGTAAGTATTAAATGGCAGAATTTGATAGAATTTAAATATTTCTAAATAGTGGCTATCAGAGGAATCCAGTAGTACATGAACATTTCTGACCTATATGATGAAGCCCGTCACTTAAATGTCTACGTTTCTGTTTACAGAGATACCTGAACCCAATACTTACTACTTCAAACACCAACGTGTTGTTAACTAAGGTAATAAATTGGAATAGTTACTAACCTAATCAGTAAATACAGTTTTTATTATAATTCACATGTTGCACAATTACATATCAAACAAGATAAAATGCCCTTCTTGGATTCAATTACTAAGTAGAATACAGAAAAATACAATGAAATTTATAATTCCAGCCAATATCGATGCATATTTATTGTGTGCCAATAAATACCTGGTCGAATTCAGTCATGAGTATCGTCAAGGATATCTATATCACAATAGTTTCCGATAGTCCTGTTCGATTTTTATAAACTAATCTGTTGACAACAAACAATTCAAGTTATTTTATACCTTGAACAGTTATAACAGAATAACGTAACTAGTGTTTAAGCTAACTTACTTAGGGCTTAGAATAGTCAGTTTTTGTAAAGCTTCAGTTGAACATGCTTTGATACACATATCCATACTTTTATATATATTATGATTCTACGCAAGTCAACAATGCATACAGTTTACTCATCTTTGTTAGCGAGTGCTAAAATCCCTTTATAGATTAGGGCCAGATAATGAAGTCACACATAGAATCCAAAATCTCAACAAAAGTTTTGTCTATAGCATGGTCATTGACAACATAAGTATTATGTTTTACAAATCTGAATTTGTGAGATATCTAAGTCGTTTACATGCATTAAGGTATGAATAAAAAAAAATCAAATGTCTCAACAAAATATATAACATTCAGTGGCTGTATCGATTCGGCCCTGGCAGCCTACAAATCGTAACGCAAACTTTGCACAGAAAATATAGAAATCGTAACTTCTAAACAAATATTCAATAAACCCACAAAAAATTAAAATAAACTGTCAAGAATTTTAAGGGAACACAAATATGATAATAAATGGATTGAATATCACAGGTTCATGTAGATACTTTGAAACATCGCACATAACGAAGGTATATTATAAGCCATATGTTCAAAAATAGTTCACCGTGACTATTAGTGCTATAATTATAATGGACAAAAAAGAATAAGATAATGAAAAACGAAGGTAAAATGCTCAGACAGAATTCACAATAACCATGAATATCAGTTTCTATGCATCTAATCTACCTAAACTCTGTTAGTGTACAGATAGACTGGTCAGCATAAAACCAGAATAATCTATCAGTTCATTTTAGTCACCGATTATCATAGCAGGTTTGTGTTCCAATGCGTCTACTTCAAATTAGGAAACTAGATAGTATCTTTAGCCCTCTTACAAACAATCTGGCTCAAAACCGAATACTTAACAAACTTGTACTTTGCAAATTAATTAAACTAAAATTTATCGGAAATGTTTTATTTAAAGAAATCAAATCAAAAGTCATTAACAAATACTAGTGCCAGGACCTACTTCAAAATTCCTCGGAAAAATTTTCGGAAGCTGGATAGTGGCTAAATATACTTGATCCATTCAGCGTTCCATAGAATCTTCCTAGAAGTTCCCAGGAAAACAATAAATTCTATGTCTTAGTGTGTATGGATGCTTGCCAATTTTAATGTTTTTAAAAGCTTCTAGAATATCACACTTTCGAATAACACAAATATTGTTTCCTGCACATAAACTAACCTTGGATATGAACCTCCCGCTCTTTGTCTTCCATTCGCGATTCAAATGTATATCTACGCGGGGCACCTGACTTAGACATACCAAATAGAACAAAAAATTTTATGTACTCCACATGAAATTTCTTGTCTATTTTTTTCCAGAAATCTATTCTGTTTTTCTAAGTACCTTGTAATCAATGAGTCGCACCGTTTTCTTTTATCCCTTATTCCTATTGCTTTAACATTATGTATCACAGTGTTTACCTGATTCGGTTTGGGCGCCCAGGCAGTATCCAAGCCCTCACACAAATCAAATGACGAAGTGTGGAGCATATGTATTCGGTGCCTCCTTGTACCAATATGTCTAAATAAATAAATAAATAAATAAATAAATAAATAAAAATATCACTGTGTTTATCATTTAACCTATTGTAAGTTGGGACTGGATTTTTTTTAAATACAGTAATAGTTGAAAAAATTGCTATCATTATTGTCTGCATCTAAATTGTTGTTTATCAAATGTTACTGCTTTAATTTGACTACAATATTATCTTCACTCTTACCATTACAAAGAACTGTATAAACACTTCCAAGAAAACAAAAGGGAGAGTAATTAGCAAGAGTGTACGAATAAGCTTAAAAAACCGTGACAAAATTTTAGCTAGTACTCAGTCTATCAGAAAACAGCATTTTCAAAAGGGATTGTTTATGGAAAAGAATACGGTAATATTTCGGAATATAAATAAATTTTACATAACTGAAAAATCTATTAATGTCTTCTACGGGTTACTCTGGCTGTGAATCCGTTTCTATTTTTATAGATTGACCGTCTCCTCAAAACATTTTTATATAAAAATAAGGTGTTTAGAATTAGGGCTTTCATCACAAACTGACATTTGCCCTATAGATAAACAAATTTCCAACAGAACCCCAAAAGAAAATGCCCGATTAGTTAGTTTACACAATGTTATGCTGGTAGATAGTTTTCGAAATAAACGAATTCGGGGGGGGGTGAGGACTTAGGGATGATGTCGATCTACCTTTTATAAGTAATCTACTGAAACAGAGCCGATCAACTGAAACGTTTTAATCAGTATAAAAAGGTATTTCTACCGTTCCGTTATATGTGATATTTAAAGTTTGCGCAAGAACCTGAAAGTCTCGTTCTTTATCCTGATTGGCTCGTCCCTATACTATACTTTTATCATAGTAGTTTTACTATGACAGACTTCACCATATTTCTGTCGTTTCTTGAATGCATACAACCTCACTCTACTTTTATGGTTGAATTATTATTATCACTATGATTATTGCTATATGTTTTGTGTTTGGTAATTTTGTCTTCTGTATTGAAATTAAGAATGTATCAAGCATTTATGTTAATATAAACTTATGTATCCGCTTCTTGTAATCATATTATTTATGTGAGCTGTTAATTTTTTCTCTAATACTATCACTCATAATGTTCTGCTTCAAGCTACAGTTAATGCAATTGTTGGTGTTTTTTGTTGGAGTTCAACAAGGTCGATTCGAATTTGTAACCAAGTGATTAAAGGTTAAATGATCCAATCACAAACTTTTCTTTCGATTAATATTTGCATTCTAATGGGTCTAGTCTAAAGGAATAAGTATTTATATACATACACTGCTAGTGTATGTATATTTATATGTTCACAAGAATTGTTGTAATGAACGAAAACACGGGCCGGGACAACCAATGTATTTTATTACAAAATTACAGAATATCTTTGTAAAGTATGAGAACCACACACTAAATACTTCATTTGCAAATTTCCATCATTTGTTTTTCACATTCTTTATTATTCTTCCAGTTCACAATTTCTTTCTATTTCCCCTTCTATTCTCTTCAACTCGATCTTCTTAGCCTTTGCTGCCAGCCATTCAAATTTTGATTGGTGTTACATAAGTCGCATATACCACAGTATGATTAAGAAGCTCACTTTTCCTCTACTGTTTTATTAATTATACAGTACAATCAGTGCAATAGCTTAATAGTTGAACTAATCGGTTATCAACTAATAAGTCCCAGGTTCCAATCTGACCTCACGTGCTTCATTTTATGAAACTGGATTTTATCATTAACACTTATCACAAAAACAGTATTACTCAAAGTACACGAATCTATTCGTAGTAAATAGGTTACATTACAGTCTAATCCAGTTTTTATACTTGTATTGTATAGCATCATCGAACATATAGGTTCTCCTTTTGGTCTATTTGATATTGACAAATTTATAAATGATCTTACTGAATAATTCATGAGTTGTACATTTAACTACAGAAATGTAATTCATGGAAATGTTTAAATCCATTTTTTGTCATTTAGATCCGACCGGTCAAGGTTCCACACACACGTTCATCATGGGCGTTTATTATTGATAAACCTTATCCATTCAAAAATTTAATAAACGGTAAAAATATTGCCGGAAATTGTTCTGAAACACAGCGAAAATGGTCTATTGTGTATTCTGGTGATACTCCTCCATGTCCTGAACTTGTGAAAGCTGGAAAAAATTGTGATTTACTCATACACGAAGCTACTGTAAATGATGAATATGTAGATTTAGCACTCAAAGCAAAGCACAGGTAAGTATTTTAATGTTCACTCCTCTGTAATATTCTGTATAATCATTTTGTTATTCCTACCTAAATATAGGATTTGTCCCGTTCTGTCTTGAATAAATAATAAAGTTAGTGGTTTTTACACTTGATTGCTCAAAGGATAACAAATTAGTGTTTGTAGTTAAAGGTACTCAGTTCAAGTCTATTGGAGATGCTAAATCCCCAGAAACCACTTGATAAAATTCCCATTTTTGTAATTTAATTATTGAAACTCGGATTTCTAGTTTTCGCACCAAAACCGCCCATTTTAAACTTCAGTTTGTGCTTCCCACATGGAAGAATCTCAAGTGATATTGGTTCGTCTTCTCTTTTAGTACTTTACTTTGTGAAGTTCTCCAAGGACATTTCTGTACTGTGTATATACGCATAAGTTGTGTGTTTGTTGTTTGGTCTTCCTGGTTGCTTGTGGAATTATATATTTTCCTGGCTGAATCTGGTCTTGTTCTTCTAGTTAGGAGGACTGAAGCGCATAGCTTAGCTTATCCTGTTGTTTTTGTGTGGCTGACTTCCTTCCTTTCGCCGGTCGTAGGCAATATCCTAGTCCCTCGAACATAGCGGAGTCCCAGTGTGGACAGCTCAAATGCGGATACATCCAGCTATTCAGTCCCTAACTGGATGAAGCGCGACACTTAGATTCCGCTACTAGTCATTTTTCAACTTTCATAAAAACCTGTTTTTTTAACCTAGAACCTTTATAGCCATGAAGATACTTTTTTTAGATATCTTATCTGATTTTCCTGCAAAACACAGTAAAACTCTCAAGGTAGCAGTTCATGAATTTAGACATTTCCAGATCAATTATTTCTACACACAAGATGTATTAATTGGTATATTGTAAACAAAATAACACCATAAATTTATTAAGAAGTTATATAACATTAAATGTTTCAATGAAATGTATTCTTTAGATATTTATATTCCATATCTGCATTTTCATTTCTGATAAGTTGGGTAAAAATATGTTATCAAGCATGCATTTATTGATATCTATTATATGGCCGTTTTATTGTTACGTTTTATTTTATTAGCATAATTGTATGCCCTTATAATGTATTTGTAACTTACGCACATTAGAGTTGGATGACTTGGTGATTAATAAACTTGAATTTGTAACGGTCGATCCAACGATATAACATGAATTCACATGTCAATTTGTGAACTGATACGGTAGGCCAGTGAGATGTCGACCATACGATAAGCCCCACACCAAAGTGTGATTGCCTTTTCAAATGATATATATATATATATAATATGAATGAATACATATTTCTTTATTGATTCGGCTGGCTAATAAAAAGCTATCTTCCCTCCCAGATAGCTGGTTGAACTTGCTAACAGAAAGCGTGTTTATCGCTTATTGGAATTGGACACCGTACAAACATTATGAACAGATGGTTATCATCACCCGATATTCATTAAATGTTACGCTTTTAACCCAGTAAAGAATTGTATATTTTAGACATTCGAACATGCTATCCAACATTTTTCATCAATAAAAATAGTTAGGTTGTTGGCAAACTAACTTATGACAATGATTTTTCTAAATATTTACTAATAAACGCCTCAATCTGCTTGATTTTTCTTTTTTTCTGATTACTCGTTATATTAAAGCACAACGGGTCAAGCTATTCAAGCTGGACGTGATATGAATGCTTCATTCATTCTATTGAATCATTTTAGTCAACGATATGGACGTGTACCACCAATAGATGAATTTAAGCCAAATGTGGCCGCATCTTTTGATTTTATGACGGTAAATGTTTTTTTCTCCTTTCGTGTTTTAACATTTATCCCCAAGATGTTCATAAGAGACACAGCGGGATTATCGCCATTAATTTTTGTCTCAAAAAATACATTGCTCCTTCAATTCGGTAATATTGAAGGTTGTTAGATAATGTTGAACCTCAATGAAACATTACCAAACAAAACTTACATGAAAATGAGATGTATGTCTCGTTAGTCTTAAGCAAATGAAGCACATATCTATTAGTAATCTAGTTTTTCTTCAATATATACTAAGGATAGACAATCGTTTACAGTGTAAGCATGTGTGATTCCACTTATTCACTCTCTCATCCCGCTTTATATTACAAAAAATTGAGAATAGAGAATAGATTTAATCTTCTGAAACCGGTTTACTAACTATATTTTACAGCATACAATAAATAGGTATCAGTATCATATCCTAATTGTATCAGCCCATAGATTGATATTTGCATTTAATCTTTAGATAATTATCCATGATACAAAATACATATTTATTCATTATCATGTGGATCTTCATTGAAAAGCTACATATTCTAGATCGTATACAATGTCTTGTATATGCTGTTTGCGAAATTCTAGATCTATACATTAATAGTAGTGACTACCACTTGTCTCGATTGTTCGTATCTGACTTTGTATGCTTCATCATAACTCGATCAAACAGACACTTTCATATTAGATTTTCACCAGACTTTTTTTAGTGTAAATTTATCTGGTTTCTAAAAATGTCACTTCTGACTCTCTCGACAGTGTACTATTCATTTCACTTTCATATATACATATTCGAATTGATTTTGTCTCATTGTCTTTTTCTAAAAAAACAACATTTGTGTTATTCTCTGAATAGGTGAAATTTTGTGATTTACCACGATTACCCTACTATATTCCATATTATCAGTATGCATTCGCTAAACATTGGACCATGGCTCGAACTAGAGCAGATTCCTATACATATCGTAAACTTCGTGAAGCTGATGAATTGTCTGAAAGTGGAGATGTTTATTGTGCAAAAACTGATGATGATATTGACGATGATAATCGTTTATTGAATGAACAAAATGTGAAAGAACAAATTGGAGAAAAACGAACATAACAGCATATTATTTGATTCCTGGTTGTTTCGTCGAGTTTTTTTTCCTTTCCCTTGCAATCGCATCCTTGTAACTAAATAGATTGTTTCAGTTTTTCATTACGTTAAATTTGTTTTTCGTTTGTTAAGATTAAATATCATATATTCATCACATTATTACACGTAAAATAAACAAAGTTTTCTAATCACATACTTCTTTGATTATTCAAGGAAAGGTTTCGAATCAGACTTTTTCCACATTCGACGTTAAAATGTGAACATTTAATCGATCTCTTTAATTCGAATTGATACTTATCTTTTAGTTGCTAGTTAGTAAATTGTTGAAAAATAATCGTAGTTACACTCATTTCCAGCAAATATGTGATGTGATAATCCGGTTGAGTTGTACTGTTTAGAACACTCGTTCCTTTTTAAGCTCTACGATCATAGAACGATCGGTTGGAGAGTGTTGTGGTTGCAACAAGGTGTTTTCCTCAAGCAACAATATTACTTTCTCGAAACGGAAGTGTAGTTAGAAAAGGCTGGTCCTAAGAATAACACATCTCATCTGGCCCCACAAATGTAATAACGTATTACAACTTCGGCAGATAATACTTATTATTAGTTTAAGCATTGTTTATTAAACGCGAAAATGTTAGTCAAAATATAGTTGTATAATGTTATTGAAAAAAAATTAATTAGACGAATAACTCTGTCGGAAGTCACGTAAATGAATAGCAAGAAATACATAATAATGCTGCGGTAGTTTTAGCGAAAATAATGCATGTAACTATTGTTGAATAATGGGATAACAATTATGTAACTATTCATAATTTAGTCATGATCACAGATGATTCTATTGTTTATCTGAGGATCAGCTAGAATAGTTTACGACCCTATAGGGAATTCAGTAATTTTGTTATTTTCCAGGTCTCAATATTAGCAAGATGTTATAGTGATCAATTCGGACATTCGCTTTTTATTAACACAGATTGATTAATCTATTGTTAAATGATACATTATCCGTCTAGTCAAATATTAATATTTTTTATCACATGTATAACCGTGTTTAATACGCTGAACTTTTCCTTTAACAATAGTGTTACTCATAAGTAGCCACATTTTTCCCATACAATTTTTCATGTGTTTCGTCGGTTATTTGGTAATCAACTGTTCCCTTATTAGTTGATACACTTTTTATCTGTCTGTCTATATTGAAGTAATCATTTTCATGCTTTGCTGTGCTAGGAGTTGACTGTTCTTATGGTAACCACCTTAGATGTAGCTTAAACATTGCTGATTGTAAAATCAGTTGTTATTTTTATATGAATACTCTAAGTGGCTAAAACAGTTTTCTGATTTTGGTTGACCTCGAGTTCGTAATTGCGGTGAATGTAACTCTTCGAATTCTAAGTATCTTCAGCCGTCACAAAAAATGGTTGAATCAAAGAAGAGTTATCTTATGGTTTCTGGCTAATTATTATTATCTTTGTCACTGCATGAGTGTAGTTAAAATATATTTGCCAGGTAACTTAAATACACTTATTTGGACACCGACATTAAAATGTCATGACATCCAATGCTCTGTTATTATGTATATCAGTAGGTGAAGGAAGAAAACCTCGAAACCTACCATTAATTCATTTTCATGAATGTGAGCTGAAGTGGTCACATTTTTCAACTTATTCGAATAATTGATGCCTCAGTTTCATGTTTACTTAGATTTCCAAACAGCGGATTTCTTCACATCAACTTATCTAGTTTATTCTTTCTCGCTGTATTCGTTTTTTCACTAGAAAAACCTTTAGTGTTGCTGATAAATCTAATTGAACTTTTGATTCGGTTTCCTGAGCTCTTCTAGTAACCCCTAGGCTAAATCTACCCAGCAACTTGAAGACGAGAGAAAAGGCTCGAAATATGGGGAGAACGCTTTACTCCAAGGTTGATTTATGTGCAGAGAGTTTAATGCATTTGTAACATTTCAGATGACCTTGGTCTTCTGGAAAGTTCTGAAACCCTTCTAAACAGAATAGTAGGATCGGTAATCATTCAATCAGTAGTGCGACACATGATTTTTCACTCTCTGACTGTTTCTGAGAAACTTCTTTTGAATGCTGGTTGGATAAGATGTTTCCCAGCGTTTTCGCGGCCCCTTCAGGCTTTTTTCGAGGAATTTTTTGTGTCTCCCCAACAGTAACAATGAAAACTACTTTTCGTATACATTTGACAATTTTTGCATGTCGAAGGAAGCTTAAATCAGTATGAAATTCTACTTTTTCTGAAGATGGTATTGAATTTAACTAGTCTTTCTCTATTCCGACTATTACCTATAATGTACTGTTTATTTCTTGTCGATTACACTATTGACTGAATACGTTTTATATTTTTCATCATTATTTGCCCCATGTCCATGAATTTTTTACCAACCTATCCATATTTATATGACTCAGTGGTTGTTAAAAGCACTATACTGCAGGGGCGTAGTCAACGAAGACTCAAACGCGGCAATGCACTTTATTTTTGTACGTAAAATCACACAGTGCCTTTGTAACATGTAAAAAATCATACTAAACACATCATATGCTCATATTTCTTGAGCTGTCCTTTATACACCCCATCGTTCATCCAATCCGATTGCTCTCTGTTTTTCATCCTCTTCTCTTTATTCCAATCTTCTGTTGATAAGCAACCCATTTCCCTAGTCCTGCTACATATACTTATATCTATCCGTATAAATAGAAAACACCACATTGGCACAGTGTTTGTCGCCTCCATAATTCACTCACATAATGTCTCTAAATACAACATTAACTGAGAAACTCTGGAGGTAGCATCGCTTCTCTTAGGTACAAAGTTTAGGTTTAGGAATTTCTACCTGTTACCCTTCATGAAGGAGCACAGGCCTCCCACCAGCACTTTCCGTCCAACCCTGTCCTGAGCAATCCTTTCCAATCACTATTCATCCTTTTCATGTCTGTTTCCGATTCCAGACGTAGTGTGGTCATTGATCTCCTTCTTTTCCGTTCCCCTTCAGGATTCTAAGTTAGCATTTGCTTCGTGATGCACTGTGGCGATTTCTGTAATGTATATCCTATCCGCCTTCAGCATCTTTTCCTAATTTCCTCTCCTGATAAAAGCCCACAGTAGACTGTTGCTGGTGGTATCGGGTCAACGGACACTGAGTATCTTGCGTAGACAATTGGTTATAAATAATTGTACATGTTTGATGGTGGTTGTTGTAGTTCTGCCAGTTCAGTTCCATGTAGTAGAACTGTCTTGATGTTCATATTGAAGACTGTGACTTTGATACTGGTTGAAAGTTGTTTTGAGTTCTATATGTTCTTCAACTGTAGGAATACTGCCCCTGCTTGTCAATCCATGCATTTGCGTCTGCATTACATACTCCTCGCTCATCGACGATGCTTCCCAGGTACATGAAAGATTCCAGAGCTTCTCCATCAAGTGTGATTAGGTTGATGTTCTCGTGTTGTATTTGAGGATCTTGCTTTTTCGCTTGTTTATGTTGAGGCTTACTGATGCAGAGGCTGCTGCTACACTAGTTATCTTCGGCTGCATTTGTTTGTGTGTATGGGATAGAAGAACCAGTTCATTTGCGAAACCAAAATCTGCTAATCGATTCCGAGCTGTCTATTGTATTCTGTACTTTCGCTCAGATGTGGAGGTCTTCATAATCCAGCCGACCACCAGATGAAAGAGGAAGAAGTAGAGTAAGCAGCCTTGTCTGACTCCTGTAATTTCTATTCATAGATTTCAAATATTTCAAACGAAGTCCAGTGTGATACTTACTTAATTTAATGATCACAATATAAATGTGACTGATAGGATCTGATGAATACTAATATTATCACTTACTATCTAGTAATCGATTTGTAATAACAACTTAGTACCATTGAAAGTCATTTAAATCATGAACATTTCAACTTTCACATCTCTTACTTATATATGCTTAGAGTTTTATCCATTCCAGGTTTATGTTTTCTACCTTAATCATAAATAACCTATAAAGCTTTTAAATATTATAGGTAACAATTTCTGTTGTCATACATATATTAGGGAACATCAATATTGCTGTGAATTTTTAATTGCTATGCTATAAATTAATGTACAGATTGGTGATAAATTCGTTTAAACTGAATGTTCTTTTTTGTTCTCCTTTCTGATATTTTCATGGGAATTAGATACAGATTTAAATATCCTTTTTTTAAAAAAAGAATTGATAACGTGATATTGATCTCAAGAACTGAGTTAGTGATTTCCGGTATGTTGTTTCATCATACAATAAAAAAATACCTTAGAATTTTAAACATACGATTTTTTTTTCATTTACCCCTAAGGTCACAATAATCGGTGTTTATATACTCTATGTAGATATCATTCGGATTTAAATCTATTTACATCCCAGGGAAACAAAATAATTTTCCATTTAAATACTTAGCTATCTCATGTTGGTTGACATATTTGTCCATAGAATTCTCGTCTCCTTCCCTTGAAGTTTGAAATGAAATCTTTTAAGCTTTAAAGTAATGTCTTTGGTTATTTGTGATATACACCGAGTACTATGCAATGTAAAATGTTTATTATGTAGTGAGAAAATATAAAACGCCATATAATAAGCGATAAATAGATTACGTGAATGCCAAAAGATACATTTCCGGTTAAACTGCAACCAGTCGACAGATTTTGTCCATTCTAGAAGTACGTATTACTGTTTATTAAAAATACGGTAGAAAACTAACAAAATCATGATCTCATCCATGTTTAATCTTATTCTGTTTACAAAAAAATAATGCTTCATTCATTACCAGATATTTGATTGAAGTAAATAATTTTCAGAATCAAAATGCGCAAAACCGTTACAAAATCCCCTTTTTGTACAAATTCAACCTGTGACTATTCAAGTAACAAATATCGATAGTTTCTAAACGTTGACTAATTGCCATCCATAGATGTTCACTATCGGTCTTGCTCTTATGACATCTCATAGTAGATTTTTTTCGCTTCTCCGAAGGACAGAGAAGGAAAATATATCAATCACTATAGTGGTTTTTCTTTAATTTATTAGTAATTAGATTTATGTTGGGTAAATATTTTGTGAAGGTAGGTAAAGCATCGCTGTAGACAGATATTAGTTAAAACAAATCTAAAACATGGACAAATAACATCAGATAAATGTTTGAGGAAAC